GACGGACGGGGGGGGGGGGGCGGGGGGGCCCGGGTGGGGGCGGGGCGGGCGGTGGCAGCGGGGTCTGTGATTCGAGGCGGCAGATTCGCCACCGCCATCGCGGCGCGACCCGGCCCGGCCCCGCCGCTCCCACGTGGCCTCCCCGCCCCGTCGTCGCCGCCGCCGCCGCCTTTCCCGTCCCCTCCGTCTTTGCTGCCGCCGCCGCCGCTCGGTGCTGCTGCCCGGGGTGCCGTGGCGAAAGTGCGGTTGCTAAGGGCGGCGCGGCGCTTTACCCAGCGGCCGCCCCGCGCCAGGCGCCGCCGCAGCTCCATTGTTGGGGCCGGCCCGGGCCCGCCGCCGCCGCCGCCGCCGCCCATGGAGCCGCCCGCCCGCTGAGCGCGGCCCCGCGCCGGGGAGCGCCTCCGCAGGGAGGGAGCGGGCAGCGGGGAGCCAGGGCAGGGCGGCCGGGGCCCGGGGAGGGGGCGGCGGGGCGGGGGGCCCGGCCTGGGCCCCCGCGGCCCCGCCATGGGTGTAGACTTCGACGTGAAGACCTTCTGCCACAACCTGCGGGCCACCAAGCCGCCCTACGAGTGCCCGGTGGGCACCTGCCGCAAGATCTACAAGAGCTACAGCGGGATCGAGTACCACCTGTACCACTATGACCACGACAACCCGCCCCTGCCCCAGCACACCCCCCTGCGCAAGCACAAGAAGAAGGGGCGCCAGGCCCGTGCCGCCAACAAGCAGTCGCCCAGCCCCTCCGAGACCTCCCAGTCGCCCGGCCGAGAGGTGATGACCTACGCCCAGGCCCAGCGCATGGTGGAGGTGGACCTGCATGGCCGCGTCCACCGCATCAGCATCTTCGATAATCTCGACGTGGTGTCCGAGGACGAGGATGTTCCCGAGGAGGTGCCCGAGAATGGGAGCAATAAGGAGAACACGGAGACGCAGAGCGTCCCGCCCAAATCTGGGAAGCACAAGAACAAGGAGAAGCGCAAGGACTCCAACCACCATCACCACAACGCCTCGGCCAGCACGACCCCCAAGCTGCCCGAGGTGGTGTACCGAGAGCTGGAACAGGACACCCCTGATGCCCCGCCTCGTCCCACCTCGTACTACAGGTATTGTCCGTGGCTGGGTGCAAGGAGACTCCTAGGCTCATGCCCTGTGTTTGGAGGTGGAATTGGCCCCACTCTGTTCAAGTGGCTTGCCAGTGGCTCCTGAGAATAGTCTCTGCCTGTCCCAGGTCTCATAGAACTGGCTATTCCATGGCTTCAGGCTCCTGGGGCTCTGCCTGGTGTCACATCACAGTTCTGAGGGGGTCTGTGCATCAACAGAGCTCTAAGTTGCTGCTTAGGTCATTGCCATCAGTTTAATTGCTGCATTCTTTCTATGCTGGAACAGCACATAAAATCAAAACAAAACCCAAATGTGGCCTTTTGCCTCTCATTCTGCTCTTTGGAGGTGTGCTAGGATATTTTCAGATATCCTTCAGCACCAAGGTGTACTGTAGGATCTGTTTGTGGGCACAATTCTTAATTGTTATCCTACAGTACTCTGTGGGAGATTTGGTGGATGCAGTGAGGATACCTGAGGCAGGAGTTAACAGAGCCCCCTAACCAGAATTAACGAAACATGGTGCCTCTGTGCATGGTTATCGTGTCTTGATCATGAGGCTGCTGCCTCCAGAGCACTGGCACTTGCTGGGTGGCACATGCAGGCCCCCTCCTTGCATTGATGAGTCTCCAAGGCCTGACCTTGCTGCTTAGACCTTGTTTTGTCTCCAAGCTGCTGTGTCGCTGTGCTAGTCAGGGTGCAGCAGCACCTCCTGCTTCTGCACATTCCTCCCTTGTTCCTGTTTCTTTATTTTGTCTTATGGCTCAGCTGGAGCATTTGAGCATTCCCTCAGTCACAGACAAATCTTGGAGCTGGGGCTCAGCAGCTCCAGCTGTGTCAGACATGCCCTTACTTTCCCATGCTGTCTTTCCAGGTACATTGAGAAGTCGGCAGAGGAGCTGGATGAGGAAGTGGAGTACGACATGGATGAGGAGGATTACATCTGGCTGGACATCATGAATGAGAGGCGGAAGAACGAAGGTGTAAGTCCTATTCCCCAGGAGATCTTTGAGTACCTGATGGACCGACTAGAGAAGGAGTCCTACTTCGAGAGCCACAACAAGGGGGATCCAAACGCCTTGGTGGATGAGGATGCAGTCTGCTGCATCTGCAACGACGGGGAGTGTCAGAACAGCAATGTCATCCTCTTCTGCGACATGTGCAACCTGGCTGTGCACCAGGAGTGCTATGGGGTGCCCTACATCCCTGAGGGACAGTGGCTCTGCAGACGGTGCCTGCAGTCACCTTCACGCGCTGTGGACTGCGCCCTCTGCCCAAACAAGGGGGGGGCCTTCAAGCAGACGGATGATGGGCGCTGGGCACATGTGGTCTGTGCCCTCTGGATCCCAGAGGTGTGCTTTGCCAACACCGTCTTCCTGGAGCCCATCGACAGCATTGAGCACATCCCACCTGCACGCTGGAAGCTGACCTGTTACATTTGCAAGCAGCGTGGCTCTGGGGCTTGCATCCAGTGTCACAAAGCCAATTGCTACACTGCCTTCCATGTCACCTGTGCCCAGCAGGCCGGGCTGTACATGAAGATGGAGCCTGTCCGGGAGACGGGTGCTAACGGTACCTCCTTCAGTGTGCGCAAAACTGCCTACTGCGACATCCACACACCGCCAGGTTCTGTGCGCAGGCTTCCCGCCCTCTCCCACAGTGAGGGGGAAGAGGAGGATGAGGAGGAAGAGGAGGAGGGGAAGGGCTGGAGTTCTGAGAAAGTCAAAAAAGCAAAGGCCAAGTCTAGGATCAAGATGAAGAAGGCACGGAAGATCCTGGCGGAGAAACGAGCTGCAGCACCTGTGGTTTCCGTGCCCTGCATCCCTCCCCACAGGTACAACCTGCCACCGTCCCTGGAGTGGGGAGAAATTTCTTCTTTCCTCCATGCTTTGTGTCCTGCTTTCCATGTGGGCATTATCCTATTCTCCTTAACTTTTTGCACAGTTACTTCTCACTTTTTTTTTTATTGCCACAGAGGGCTGTGGTGGTTTCCTCTGGGAATCCTGCAGAGAGGCAGGGCCATGCACTGCCCTGCAAAGGTGTCTGGGCCTTCAGCAGGGCAGGAAATAGTTGCTGTTAGTTTAACAGTAGAAAATGAACTTGGCCGGATGCATCAGGAAGCAGCTGGAGGTTCCCAGCACTCCTTTCCTGTTGTGCTGACCTCAGGCACCCAGAGTAAACGAAGCGGGGAGGAGGGAGCTGCTCTCCTTTCTGCCGATGTCTGTTTTCTCCTGAGGCTGTGTCAGGCAAAAGACAGAAGTATGGGAGTGATTCAGGCCTGGGAAACGGGCTTATCCCAGAGTTATTTTGGCTCTGGAGCAGAGAGGTCTGGGATCCCTATGCTCTGCTGAGCAGAGCTCATCCATCCCAGCCGCCATGTACTCCTTGCTGGGCTTTCTCAGTGCTCTCTGCCAGGCACAGCAGCAGCTGCTCCTCCTCAGCACTGCCTGTTGGATCAGGGCCGGCAGCCACGGGTGCTGAGAGCTGTCATTCAGCTTCAGAGGAGGGGTGGCTGGAGAGCACCAGGACTCCTGCCTGCCGAGGTGTTGTGGTCCTAAGGCTGATTCCCCAGCACGAGGCCTCCCTAGGGGTTGTGTTTCTGTCACATTCCAAACCTGTGGTTTCATGGGAAGGTGCAAACACACTGTAGTTACAGTTGAAACTGCACTGTTCCTTGGTCTTGCTAGGTTGTTGTGCTGCTGTGCACATCCCAAAACAAGAGCATCTAAGAGCCTTGCCAGAATTTGTCAGTGTAGTTTATAACTCTGTGTGTCCTCAGCAGCATGTAAAAGCGCATAAGGGCATCCTAGAATGTTTTTGGATCTCATTGTCACTCTAGTGCAGCAGGCACTAGAAGCACAGGTTGGGCATGGAACCGTTTGCCTTTGTGGTGGTAAGCCACCAATCCTGAGCCGCTGGGCTGTCCTCCTTCCTGTGGCATGAGTTGTGCTGGGGTTGTGATCATGGGACTGAGGGTCTGTCAAGACCCTCAGACCCTCAAGGCTTATCTCCTGTGCAGTTGGAAAGGAGCACACAGAAGCCGTGGGCTATGCTCTCTGGGCAGCATTCTGGTGACTTGGGGAGGCAGGTCTGACACAAGGCTGCTGGCCTTTTGCCACAGTCTGCTTGTGTTCCAAACTTATGTTTTTGCTCACTCAGGGCTTGTTCCATGTCAA